CGATGCGGATAGTCAGTTCCAACAGAGCGACCGGACTGTGCACGGACGGCTGGCTGCAGACCTCACGATTTCCGACGATTTTCTGTTTTGATTTATTCATTTTTTTTTTTTTTATATATACTCCAACGTCGTCGTACTCTCTTTGGTCGCTTGGATAGATTATTGTGGCGATATTAATTTTCCCGAGCAAACGCCAATAAACAGTACATATCGATATTCGCAGTCCTGTGTAATCGGAACAATACGTTGTAATAATAATAATAATAATAATAATATAACGAACAGAATAACGTCGCGAATAACGAGAGTTTAAGCACCGAACCGCAGAGGTCCCGAACACAATAAATTATAGAACGAGGATTGTACAGGTAATTCATATTTTAAACGTCTTCGTCATAATATTATTACGCGATTGTTATGAGAATAATTTCAACAGCCGTAGGAATTCGATTTATAAAACATTTCGGTTACTAATTCATCAATCCGTTTCCTACGATAATGATTACTTCTTTTAGTTTGTTTTTTTTAATTATTATTTTAAGTCGACTCGTTTCGAAATATCTCATCAAATAATAAATATAAATTATTATGTACTTATTGATATTGTGGCAGATAATGTTATTCTACGCACAGCGTAATTCGTTTATATTTAACCTAAACATAGTTATACGTTTTAAAATGTATTGTTGATCAAAAACACGAACTAAGATATCTTAGTTCGTGATCAAAAATAAGATATTGGGGGGGGGGGGGGGGGGGGGTGCCTACACTATTTTTATAAGACTCGTTTATACTACCGTATTATAATATTAAAAAAATTGATATCAATAATTTCAATTTTTTTATTTAATAAAATAATAATAACAATCTTTTTTCTATTCATATCTCAATAAACAAATAAGATAATTCAATTTCTACAGATTATTACTTTTAATGTTACATTTTTATTCAAAGGTTTAATACAATAATAATAACAAGTGTAAATATTTTAAAACAGTTTTACCTCAGTCCATAAGTTTTTAACGTTTTGATTAATTTTTTAGTATACCTTCAATTTGTCAAATAAAGAGTTTTAAGGCCCAAAGTGTACCTTGATTTCATTCATCATCAGAAAAATGTATGAATCAGTGTACTTACTACTTATCATATTATATGATTCACGAACGTACCCATGTATAAAAAACGATTTAACCAAGTTATATAGTTGTTTTTCTTTTAAAATTACGTGCACATTATTTAATTAAAATAGTTTATTTACTGGGATAATATTATAAAGAATATAGTCTTAATAAGGTATTAAGTATTCGATTTGTATTAAATTACCTAAAAGTAATCGTTAAATTACCTTCGTGCATATTTACGAAAATAGTAAAATCTGAAAAATATCATAATATCGTGCCTATCAGACGCCAGGCCTACAATCGATAATAATATAAACATATGAGTAATGTCATAATTTTAAATTATAATAGGCACACTAAGTCGTATACCTCTGCTAAGTTACTAAACGAATTATATTATTGTTCTATGGTCAAAGGTCTTGTTACACATTACTTGCTATACATTAATTTTGTCGTTTGACGTAATGGATTTGTGATGGAAACATAAATAAATAGAAATATTCGAATAATTATTATACTATGTAACTACCCATTAACCTTTTATTATAGGTACATCGTACAACGTTTTAACAATAATAATATCTAATAATATGACCATAGAAACAATTTAATTTTATTGAAGTTTCCCTTAAATCGTATAATATATATACATAATATATATATATATATAAGTGTTTGAAAATTTCATGAAATTTAAAAAAATGAAATATTTCGTGAAATATTTCAGTATTTTAATATATTTTGTTTTATTTTTAAATAAGTTTTATATTTACATATAATTGCCATAAATTACCTTCATCACTATATGGTACCTGTATGTATACCTAACCTTTGGTATTATACATTTAAATTGGTATTCAAAATGTTTAAATTTTTTAATGTTTAAATGATACAAGTAGGTATACAATATTATACATGTATATTGTATACTTACTGAATCCTGACATTAGAATTTAGAACATTGTGTTAAAAAAATAAATAAATTGTGTTTTTATTTGTGTTAAAAAAAATTTCAATGTTTCACGTTTTTGTGAAATATTTCACAACTTAGTGAAATATTTCAAAATGAAATATTTCTCATACTTCAAACACTATAATAACCTACTGCTGAAATTAATGAAGTTTCTATTATTCACCTATATACAATACATCTCGGTATATGGTAATTATTAGATATATTCATAATAATATAACCATCGTATTATAATATTAATTTGTATATAGGTGTAAAATTCTGAAAATATTTTTCTAACATCTTATGGTTTAGATACCATACCTACGTGTCCTTATATTATTGTGATAAACATAATACATTATTTATAAATTATAGATATAGGTGCTAACGGGCACAGCGTCCATTGACCGCTGTCAACAATAAATTACATTTTATTTGGCTATTAAAATTTTAAATCCTTCTTTGATTCTGCCAACGCACTACACGTGTATACAAGAGCTAATAGGTCTGACAAGGTTTCGATATGTAATATGCTTATTAACGTGAGGAATATTGCTGCATACCTACTATGGTCTGGAATTTGCATAAGCAGCTACATCGTTGGAAGAATATTTTAAAGATGTATAATAAAAAGTAATACCTAACGGGCTGTATTATAAACACAACATTTTGCAGACTTTTAACTAAGGAATTTATCCGTGATATTTACTGTTGTATATTTATATCACAATTGGTATATATATCAGGGGTGGCCAAACAGTCGATCGCGATAGACTGGTCGATCTTGGACGATTTCTAAGTCGATCCCCATTGTTAGAATTTATTAATTATTCTTATATATTTGCAATTTAGTAGATACACTTATTAAATACATATGTTTCGGATTAACCTGTTAGTGTGAAATGGCATTTTCTCACATTAAAGTTATAATTTATAGAAGCTGAGTAGGTTAGTTTTAGACTTTAGCACAGCGTCTTCGCTTGGTCATGATGTGCAATGACACGCTTCTACATCAACAATAAAATGTTAATACATTTTAAAATTACTTAATACTTTAAAATGAAACACTCATTTTAGATAAATAAAATTAATTTTATTATTTATATAAGTATGTTTATTATTAATATTAAATAATTTTTTTACATTAGTCGATCCTAAAAGAAAAAATATATCCTCAGTAGATCTTAATCAAAACAAGTTTGACCACCCCTGATATATATATTATCTACAATATATAAGAAAACTATGGTACCTCATACACCTATTTAAATATCAAGCTAAAAATGCAATACCTGTTCAAAATATCTCAAGAAAAATAAAAACATTTTAAATTAAAACAAATTAAATCCCTTGTCGGGTCACGTGTTACATTTTTCGTATTAATTATCTTAATCCTCTTCGTCGATTTGTTTAGCAGCGGTTGCTTAATCGTCAACAATAATAAAAACAAAAATATTAATAATGATGCTGAAGTTATAACAATATTAATAATAATAATCTATGCATATTTAATTTTCCTACGAATTTGTAGCATAATTATTTATCCACGTGCTGTTTGATTAGATTATTATAATTTATTATAGTAAATAATTTTATCGTCAAGCTAATTTTTTGAAGAATTTGCAGGATTTGAAGAATTAATATTGAAATTGTATACATTTATAATATAATACCAGTAGAACTCAAATACTTTCTTGTTTTATAATTGAATTATTATTAATTGAATGCCCATCAACATCCCTATCTACATGTCTGTATCATGATTACTATATTGTTCTTCGCGCCATTGACCATACAATTTTAATTGATAAAAGGGTTGAAAGGGTTTTTTGTCCAAAAATTATTAATTTCAGTGTAGATGCTTCAGTAGTTCTACACGTTATCTAAAAAATAAATTTTTGTACCGGATGATAAAATTGGTCAACGAGGTCCCATCATTTCTTATTTGAGTTATGATTATTAAACAGTATTGTCACTGTTACCTACTATTATATTTAAATTATTCTACTGTCATACTTTTACTATTTTTATTACTACTTACTTCAATTTTAGATTGTTTGTTATTAGTTTTAACATGTTCAAATCCGATTTTATTTTATTTAAAAATATATTTTTATGAACTATTAAATTGTAATAATAATATTCATTGTGAAATGTGCTGATACTTGTTTATGATATTGTATTATTATTTATTATTATTTGTATGCGGTAATATCTTCAATTCAGTTTTCGGTTGTATCGTCGCTTTAGTACTTATAATTGCATCCAAATATCCAATCTCATTATCTGTTACAGTCAATTATAATTTATAATAAATTGTCTATAGAAATCTACTAAATAATAGTTTTTACACTTCCATGTTCGTATAACGTTTACAATGACAATTATATAGTCGTAATGTGTTCGTATGAAAGCGTTATTATCAATAATAACATATACACATGCACACAGCTGCTATAGGTCATTGCGGTTTTTATACGAATTAACATAATAATTATATCTGATAATATTATAAGGTAGATATTTATTAACAATTAACACAAGTACACAGAAAGCCAAACATTTATGCAACAACTAATTTCCATAACACCTATAGTGGTAGGTATTATATACCTCATGGCTTATGCCTATGATATGTTATATTTTAAGGACGCGATGGTAATTTTTTTTATTATTTCACTATGCGCTTCATTAATTGACTGATCAACACGGTATAAAATAAAACGTATTCGGTCGGTTTGGAAAGTCGTGCACAGTTACAGGCATTAAGGCATTAAGCTATATATCCAAGGATATATTGTGCACCTTAATACACATTATACGATTCACTATACTACAATAACAACAACATATTGTTCATTATTGGTAACCATCGTATATTATTATTATTATTTTCACATTTCGTATTGTTTTGACGTTTCAGGATGCCTGCCGCCATTGCAGCCATGGATGAGTTCGACTCGTACGGCCGGGGCACAGCTCATGGCCTTTCGGAAATTCAATCTTTTTACAATGGTAAGACGGTTTTTTTGACTGGCGCCACTGGATTCGTGGGCAATTTAATACTGGAAAAACTAATCAGGTAACAGTTATTCATTCGAACATCATAATATTATATTGCATTATTACACGATACGCCATTGTTTAATCGCATTTAAATTGCTTATTGTTAATGACGTGCATATTTTGGGACTGGCAACACAATATTTTGCTAGATATACGCTGCAGACAAACAATTATTATATAATATTATTATGTATAGTAATTAATAATAGGTACGATTATTACGTGCACATTTAATAAATACAATACAACCTTTTGATTTTAGACTTAAACAGTTTATTGGGGGACGCACACCGTCACCGGTTCGATACTTCAGCCATGGGCGGCATTTTTCTTCGGGCAAGTCACGGTGTCCGGAGAACAAGTGCCGCCATCCCCCCCCCACCCGGGCATGACAGATACCTACGGGTGCCCAAATCAAAAGTGCTGTTTAAACAAACACACAAGTGTGTTCCTCCTCCTACCAACAAAAACTTACAAACAAAACAAAAATAGCTTATGGTCTTCATTTCCGGGCTTGAGCTCAATAAAAAAAAAAATAAAAAAATAGTTTCTTGATATTATAGGCCACAAGATTTTAAAACTAAAAATAGTTCTTAGCCATGTATCTATATAGATTTAAATAAATTATCATAAATTCTTATAAAATACAAAAACTATCATTTTTTTTTTTTTTTTGTTCAATTATTACTAGGAAATTCTAGTATTAAAAAACTAGAATTATTGTATCTACCTACACCACACCATTGATATTTAGCCACGATTTGAATTTTGTAAATTTTGGTCTAAATAGTCGTATGTGCGCTACAACGACCCCTTACTAGTAATATTGTATTACACACAGCAAACGTTGAAATTCGAAACTATTTTGTGGAACTATATTTATACTGTATTCGATGCACTGAACAGTGACGTACCTTCATCACGTAGTACAATATATATACGTTATGAATTATTTAAAAATATTATTTTTAACCAAAACGGCGGACGAAAACAATGTTACTTATACAGTGTCAACTCTACAATTCTACGGTGTATTATAAATTAAAATTCGTGCTCAAGATTTAAATAAATTCCAATGATCGTATATTATACTAGTTTATCACGTCATCAGAATACTTGAGTGCTTAGCTGTGCTTAGCTACACAGTTTATTATGATTTATGATTAATAACAAAACGCAGGAAACAAAGAGCGTATAAATAATAGGTATACTGCTGTGTAGGTACACGCAGAATATCTAATAAGTTTATGTAAACTGAGTTGGTTTTTCACCTTATTTTTATACGCATTTTGTTTCCATATATTTGCGATTTACTTCTCAGTCGGATTCATCTAATCACGAGTATAATATAATGATTTGATATACCAAGGTCCTGTAAAAAGCTCTTCCATAAAAGTAAATACCTATGCAACCATATTATATTGACCGAATTGTACCAAATTGTATTTTGTTTGTATATATATATAACGATTTATAATACATTAGCATGTCGACATGCTTTGGATATTTATTACTTACATTGTGTATAATGACCTAATGACATTCCATTATACATTTTGTTTTATACAATTTAACAAAAATGCAATACATTATAATATTAACACCTCTAATGTTTTAATAATATATTTGTTCCTTCAAAAATTCCAATAGTGAAAAATAAAAATATTTAATTACCTACCATGTTATACTACACTTATATGTTGGTTCTTAATAATGACTCTTGTTGTAGTATATTAAGACATATATATATATATATATAAGAGTAAGTTAATAAAAACGGTTTTGTCTTTTTTTATTTCAGAACTTGTTCTGGAGTTAAACGAATTTATGTCTTGATCAGAGAGAAAAAAGGAAAAACTACAGAAGAAAGGTTTAAACAGCTCTTCAATGACCCAGTGAGTACATATTTTTATTTATTTGTTTACATTTAGATGATGGTTTTATAAATTTAACTATTGATATAAACAGATAATATATTAATAATATTTTGTTACATTAAATATTTTATATTTTCAACATTTGAATATATCTTGTTTATCAAATTTGATGGTCTTGTTTTACTGGATCGAAATTATGAACATAATTATCGAATTAAAATAACTGTTGGTCTAATATTATTTAAAATTTAAATTACCAAGTATAAATACTAAAATTTATATTAAACTTACGAATTTTCAGTTTTAAATTACAATTTTCAACTCAATATTATAAAAATATCCGGTTTATTGATATTATTTTTAATTTAATATATTATACCCGTTTATAAATACAAAATAAACAATACATGCAAATGGATTTCGACTAGGCCATATTATATTTATGTTGTTTTTATTTGAATCCGTATAAAAGTGGCATGCAAAAGAACAATAATATTCATAAATAACGAGTGTCAAATAAAAACATATAAAACGAACTGCAAAAATGATATGCTATCTGCAGAATGTAAAAAATATAATGAAAAAAAATGTTATTGACCTCTAAAAGAGACGATTAATACTAAAGGAAACTGAAATATGTAATGTATTAATATTCTTAAAACTAATTATATAGCTAAAAAATATTTATTTAAAAAAATCTGTTTATCATATATTGTATATTTATCAATACAATTTATTATTTAGTAAAAATGTATAGATCATAATGAGTAAAATTTAAATATTTAATAAAAAACAATTTGACTAAACATTTTTATTTTAACTTCCGCATGTATATAATTGGTGCTGTACACATATTTCCACCTAATCGTAGGAATATTCTACGCATGTTTGTTCATTTGTTCAAATTATTAATTTTCCTTTTTCTAATCGTATCTAAAATCGGTGTAATAATGATTTATTAAAAGTATATATGCCAATACAATCAACGTAAAATCACTATGGTATCAATATAAAAAGTCATGGCCAATCGTGACCATGTAGTCAAAGGATAATAAAAATAAATAATAAAATATAATTAGATACCGTTTATATATTTTTACATTTATATTCAGTTAGGTAAAACGTGAGGTGTACGATTTATGATTTCAGGTATTTGAATTAATGAAAAAAGAACAGCCAAACTATTTGGAAAAGATCACATCGGTAATCGGTGATTGTTGTTTACCAAATTTAGGGATACAAGAGAAATACATGGACATTATGAAAGATGAAGTAATAATAATCAACAATAATTATTATAATAATCGTTACCTAGTTTTTTGTTTTATCCTGACACTTTTTTTTTTTGATACAAAGGTTAACATTGTTATACACTCCGCCGCTACGGTAAGATTCGACGAACATTTAAGAAAAGCGGTAAACATCAATATTATCGCCTTGAAGGATATGCTGAAAATGAGCCAAGGAATGAAAGGCTTAAAGGTAGGTAATGCATTAGTATGCAAGTCTATTATTCTATATATATATATATTATTATTTATTATAATTTATTATAATTTTTTTAATAAAAGCAATCATAATAATAATAATAATAATAACGCAATACTACCAAATTAAATAGTTATTTGTTTTTATTTTCGTTTTATTTATAATAACTGTGTCCTTTTAGGCTTTCGTTCATATTTCAACAGCTTATTCGAATTGTGCCGGGAGAAAAGTTGTAGATGAGGTGTTCTATAAGCCACCAATATCTGGAAACAATTTATTTAAGGTCGTGGAGAGTCTTGACGATGACTACATCGATAAAATTACTCCTTCGTAAGTACCTTTGTAACGAACATGTACCTATGGTACACCTGTATGATCTGTACTCTTGGTTAATATATAATTCGTATATATATACGAATAATTTATACGAACTTATACAACAAAGAGTTAATAATTTAATTGACTACAACATAATTGTTCCTATATTGTTTAAGACTTAAGAGTAAAATTCATCGACGGTTGAAATTTATTTCAAAAATAAATAAAGAAAACTGTCTTATGTTATGTTTTTTTCATGTAGATTGCTGAAGGAGTGGCCAAACACGTATGCGATGACAAAAGCAATTGCAGAAGGTGAAATCACAGAACACGGCAAAGGGTTACCCATCGGAGTGATAAGGCCGTCGATGAGTGAGTGTATACTACATATAAATACATTGATTCTATTTACTATAATATAGTATATACAATTTTGGTGCAGTGGCGCAACCGGTCCGAAACCCCTTTAACCGTATTTGAGTAGGTTATCCAGTGATAAAATATACAATAAACTGCAGAAACAGTTAAGCGTATTGTTGATTATAAGAACAATACATTTGACGATAATACGTCACAACTCACTATAGGTGATAGCAATCAGAAATCTCATTATATATAAGTGGAAAATACTAATATATATTACCGACTTATCGCGCCCCCTCCCCCCTCAGCACAACCATCAAGAAATTTCCGGTTGCAATACCGTTAATGTGGATCGTCGCCTTCGTCGTTATATTTTATTGTCGTAACAAAACGGTTTTTTGTATATTTGATTTGAAACGTAGTCGTGGCCACAGACAACGAACCGGTCCCCGGTTGGATCAACAACATCTACGGACCGACAGGGGTCGTCGCGGCCACCGGCGTTGGACTCCTGAGGTGCATGATCGCCGATCCCGACAAAATAGCCGACATCGTGCCCGGAGACTTCGTCAGCAATGCCGTTGTGGCCTCCGCCTGGGACATCCACAACCAATGGTGAACAACGATTTTACAAAACTACATAATATAGTACCCGACGAGGGATATGGTGTTTTCGCCGTATTATTATTTAATTTAAAATTTACTTCATACATATACCTGACGCGTAAAATGTGTTAGGTAAATATTACGCGAGTGATCATCCGATATTGGGTATAATATTATAGTCAATATTTTATGCGATCGACAAATATTCCTTTAAAGATCAACTGGTTGGTGACCCCTGCCGCCCAAATGTCCACAAAATCAGTGGAAAAAATCTGTTCTCTAAACATACTGCATGGTCATGGGTGGAGGGACTCTAAATTAAATTCGACATTCCAATTTTTTTTTTAGAACCATCGAGATAATATTATAATATTTACATCGGCTTGTGACTTTCACCTATTCGATAACTGAAAATAAATAATAATTGCAGGATATGGTTTTAACGGCGTTTGACTGCTGCAATCGTATTAAAGACTACACGATTACTTTACGAGTTCAGCAATAATTAGTTATACCTATTATAGATTTTCGTTTTGGATGTTTTGATACATAATCGTAGTGGTGTAATGGTATAACATGTAAAAGTAAATTAAAACATACTATTAAACATTTTAGGGAAGCAGTCGGTTTGAATAAGGAACAGTTCGTGCCACCAATTTATAATGTCGTTTCTTCGAGCTCTAACCCATTAACATGGGGAGAATTTTCGGCGTTCAACAAAAGCCATGGAAGTCACGCACCCTCTGTAAAAGCGGTGAGTGTTCCGAAGACGTTTTTACTAAAATAATACCTGACATAATATTATAACAGTATATTATGTTTTGATTAAAAAATCGTTAGTTATATACTGCATTGGACTATACCTAACCGGACGAAAATCATCGTTTTTTTTCTCTCTCTTTTGTACATAGATCTGGCCATTTATGTTGAGGATTTCCAAAACCAAATACGAATATACAATCTTGTGTTTTCTCCTCCACATCTTACCCGCGTTCATTATCGATTCCTTAGCCAAACTAACGGGAAGAAAGCCACAGTAAGTACACGACACCGAAAAATATAATTAATAGTACCTATATATAATATACGACCCAAAATAATACGCGTCTTCCCGAAGACCTATCGTTTATACTGACTTTCGTTCATACCTAACCTAATCGTACCTATATATACCTGCGATGTTCACTTTTCAGATTAATGGAAGGTTACAAGAAAATTCACAAGTTCATCGAAGTCGTATCGTACTTCTCCCTAAAGTCATGGACATTCCACGACGACAACACGAAGTCGCTTATAAAAAAGCTGTCCAAACTGGACCAGTCCCTGTTTAGGTTCGATATTGCCAAATTAGACTGGAACGAGTATTTCAAGAAACACGTGGTGGGCATTCGACTGTACATCTTTAAAGATCCACTGGACACCGTGCCGGAAGCGTTAAGACGAAATAAAAAGTCAGTATAATATTCACTGTCCGACAGACATAACTGGTCTCTATTTTTTATCGCCAGTATTATGCAGTTTATTAATTATTTTCCGATATTTTATGTTTTCAGATTGTACATGATTCACTACACGTTAATGTCCTTTTTGGTGGCATTATTGATGGTAGTAGTTTACGGACTGTTTCTACTATTCGTATAGGTAATTCGAATCTCTGTTGTGTCCTAAATGGTAATTACAATAATTGTATATAACCAACAAAATACGTTAACTGTAATATTATGTACTTGCTATAATATGTACCTACATCGGTACATTATCGTGCATTTTGTTTTGTATCTCATTATGATGTATTTTACTTTTATTCAAATTTGTATAATTCTATGAACATTTTTAGACTAGAATTTATTTATAATATTTAATAACTACATTTTTTCAATACCTACACTAGGTACTGTTATTATCATGAATTGTGCATACTCGCTCTTGCATGCACGCACATATTCTATATTATAATATTATATGGGCATAATGTATCTGAATTATTGTAAGTGCAATTCATAATATTATTACTGTCAATATTGAATTATTGCATGGATATAAAATGCCTAATTTTTAAAACGTAGGCAGCTTATATTATTATGTCATTGATTTTAAGATTATTGTGTGTAATTTAAAAGACTTTTAGTTATTATGTACTTAAATTATTATAATAAATTATTATATTTAATATATTATTTGGTAAAACAAATTATTTTTTAACTGTATTATTATTTTCATCTTTAGTACCAATGGAATCTCACTTAGGTAGTTAGGTAAACTTTAAATTATAAAATGGAAAAGAATAATGAATTACATCTATTGCAATCATTCTAATCATAAATATTTTTAAGCTATCTACATTCTACACGTATTTTCATTATTACTTTATTAACTTTTTTATTCAAACATATTTATTTCCGACAATTTTTGATTTAACTAGGTATACGGTTTAATACAATAACAAATGTAATTACTTTTAAAGTAGTTTTTAACATTTTATTTATTTTAAAATTCTACTACCTAATTGTTTCACTTAGATCAGCTTTTCTTACACTTTGTTCCGGGGAACCTCAGAGTTCCACGAAACTTAAGTGAGTTTTTTCAGTGAAGGATTTATATTTGTGAAGTACTGTTTGTCTGTTATTTTAAATATTTTTTGTATTAAATACATATACACAGGGGTTCTAATCGTCAAAATGTAATAAATTACTGTTGAAAGCTAAATAAAAAAAAGCTAAAAAAAACAATAAATGTGGACATAAAAAAGGATTCCACACTTCCATGGATAATAAAGTTTAAGAAACGCTAACACAGATGATTGAAACTACATTTATATAATATTACATCGTCGTTCTATATTATGGATTGTGGATAAGTGTTGATCGTAACATTAAGTAAATAACAAAGTTGGTGTATTTTTTCATTTTAAACAAAAAACAAAAATAAGGTGGACAAGTGGGTACCGCTCTGCTGTACAGTAGTTGTAATGGATGCGTGTTATATTTGAATACAATGATAAGCCATTGTATACGAAAAACGATTTTGAATGGTTAGCGTAGTCCTTATAAATTATAATATTATTATTTTTTATTCGTTGCTATGGTGATAAACAAATCGTTAGAAATTAAAATCAAATTTTAACGGTTATTCATAATTAGTCGGTAGCTTTTCTCGACTACTTGGAATTTTTAATTTTGAACTCCCAAAAGTACCATCTAGGTTCACTTTTCTATTAGAAAAGATGCTGATCTCTACAATCAAAGCATGCTTACTATCCGAAATGTTACTGACAGACAGAAAAAAAAACACACATCATTGTAAAACCAATACATTCTTTCGCTCCGCTCAGAATCTAAAACACAATAATCACTTGGATTTTAGTTTTACATTATTTTAAACATATGTTTTATTCATTTTAAACAATTAACAAGACGTTTAAAACAAATGTTTAAACACGTTTAAAAGAAGTTGTTTATAAGTTATAACTTTATGTTTCAAACATAACAATCCTGGTAAGTAGTCGATGTAGCGAGACCTACTCCCGATCCAGACTACCTATCTATAAATTATAAATCGACAATATTTGAAAAATCGTTGAACGTATTTGAACAAAATATATGTGCATCTTATTATCGTTTGTAGCAGTTAACACTATCTTTTGTTGGAGTCAACACTTTCATTTGTAGGAGTTAACACTATGTATATGTAGGAGATTACCTATATACATTTGTTGGAGTTTACCATTCCCCGGTATAGGGTATCGTGGTAATCGTTAACATAAAAAAAACGTGTCTTGTGCTTGGTTCCTGGATCGTTTTTCAATAGTTTGTGCAGTAATGGGTGAAGCGTTAAAAAATATTGGATTTATGAAGACAATTATACCTTCACTAAATAATTTTAAAATAATTTATTTATTAATTTGTTTTTTGAAAGTACGGACTGGTAGCCCCCAATGGTTAATTGCAAGAAACATTTAAGTACACGAAATATTAGCATAGAAAAATATATAATCTAGCGGGCCGCGAAGTTAAGTAAAAAAAAAAAGCGAGTATAGCCACTAAGGTACATTAACACGATTCAGAGTGGTACCATTGAACAATTGTGCTAACTTGTGCTAATCCATCTGCCCACTCTACAGGGCAAACAGCTGAACATTGTATAAGGTATCTCAGTCGACCAAAAATATTGTGCTGATGGGAACGGGGGAACTCGCGACTAGATTGGTTGGATTGCTTAAGAGTTGCAAGCAAACATGTTCAAGTACTTTTGAGCAGGGCTTGAAACCGATTGAAAAAAATTCGGTTTCGGTATCAATTTTGTACACAAACGGTTTTTAATTTTTTCGATTTTGGTTTAACTTTTTCAATATCGGTATTAGGAAATTTTGATTTTGCATACCAGTTTTCAAATTTTTTCGGTTTTGGTTTTTAAACAGCTTATACCGGTTTCTAAAGTCGGTTTCAAGCCCTGGATTGTTTACGTTCATTCATACAGTTAATTTATTGATTCGAATCGCGGGATCGCGCGTTCAAATCGTCCTTTGTGTAAGGTGAACTTTCCAAAATGTTCAAGATACCAAATATTTTCGACAAAAAAATACCGTTTTTTTAATTTTGCTTTCGGTTTCTGTTTTCTTTTCGGTTTACACTGGTTTCAAGCCCTGCTTTTGAGTCTGATTTTTCATATTATGCAACGAAAACATTGTAAAATATAATATTGTTCCTCCGATCCATTTCTTATCCATCCCACTACTCTCGTTGTTGCGGCAACATTCTCTCTCAACCACGTTCAAATTATATTATTAAAATGTAAAACCCCTTATTTCTTTTCTAGTACTCGGCTGTAACTAAGAACTATCATAATAAATATACGTAAATGTTTTTAAAAAATTTATTACATAAGAGGGTTGCAAACGGACAGTTTTTAAGGAGTACAAAGTAGGCAATATTTAAATAGTATATGCATTTGGGTCTTGTGAATGTGTGCATGGTAAGCAGGGTTGCAAAGTGTTTTAAACAAGTGGATTTATTTTAAACGTTTAAAACAGATCTTTAAAATTAATTTAAAAACGTTTTATTTAAGACAAAAAAAGATTTCATTGTATATTCTGTATATAAATTATAAGTTATATAAATTGTAAGTGTTCCGACAGAGATTATTCGTATAAACTATGAATTGAAAGGAATATTAACAACAATATTAACTATTTGACTAGGTTTGTAATTTGTAGTATTGTCGCATGGAGAAACTTATATACACAATTAATAGTTATTATATAATATTATATTATGTATTAAATAATTATTATTTATTATTAATATATAATTAGTTTATACAAAATTAAAATATATACATATTTTAGACTTTGTAATTTCTTTTTAGTGTTAGAGACTAAAGTAGGTACTTAGTACATAGAGTTGGTGTATTACAATTTTTGAATTTTGTTGTAACTTGTTATAAACTGCCCTAATTCCCTGAACCTGAAGTAAAAAAAGTATTACCTATTGAAAAAAATGCTTATTGTTTAAACTTTAAACAAAATGTATGTTCCATGTGAACGAAAACAACATTTTTAACAAAAAAAAGGCGTTTAGAACAATGTATAAAACATTTAAAAAAAAAGTTTTAAACAAAAAGAACATTGTTTAAAACATCTTAAACGTTTAAAACATTTTTTTCCAACCTTGATGGTAAGTGATCATTAGCTGCTAGCAAAGGTGGGCAAGTTAATGAAAATAATTAACTCAAGTTAAATTAAGTTAAGAGGACACAAGATCGATTAGTTAAAAGTTAGCAGTTAACAAATTATAAATTTAACTCGATAAGTTAAAAGTTCATATAGAAAAAAATATTAACTTAACTCAGTTTATAAAAAGTTAATATATATTTTAGATTCTGAGTGAAACGATGAATGTATTGATTTTAGTGATTTTAGTGATTTTACAATGATGTGTGTTTTTTTTTTATTTTTTTTTTTATTTTTGTGTCTGTCATCACGTTTTAGGACAGTAAAAGTGCTTGGATTTTCTTCAACAGTAACTTTTCTGATAGGAAAGTGAATCTAGTTGGTACTTTGGGGAGTCAAAAGTAAAAATTTCCCAGTAGTTTTCACAAGCACCGGGAAAAACAACATAAAAATTAAGGAAAAACGGGAATTTTTACGCAAAATCGGTTTTCCAAAAAATCGATTTTGATTTTTGGTGTAACTCTAAAAGAAATTAACGTATATACATGAAAATTTCACTGGTTGTTTATATTTGCATTTTGTATACACGATAACATTTTCAAAATATTTTGATTTATTTTGAACTGTTTAGGGACATTTTCATTTTCCATCTTTTTTTAGTTTTTTTTTCTAAAAATATCAATAAAATTTTATTTGTTGGTTGCGAAAAGTTGAAAATTTAATAGAAGGCTCCTAGTATATTGTTTCAAAGGCAGATAAAAAATATTAAAAATCCTTAGTCACAATTTTTTTTTATAATCATTTAAAGTTCAAAAATTGACAAAATATGGAAAAATCACGACAATTAGCAAATTATTTTGAGTTAAGAATTCGTAAAAATTTTTCTTTTTAAATCCAAGATTTGAAAATGGAATACAAGATTCCTTATAAGATTATCTACCTTTATCAAAAAAAAAATGTCTATAAGAAAGTC